TTACAGTTATATTGGAATAAGGCTATGGACCACAATCTTGGTCTATTTTACCTGCCTCTTATGATAACAGTGATAATCGTAGACGAGTATGCAAACGTTTGTCCAATATTGGTTGTATTTTCATTGCACATTTTATGCATTCTACTTTAAAAATATTGCACATTTTTTAAGATACTTCAAGTTCTTTGGTCTTGTATGTTACTTACAGATTCGTTCCGACTACCATATTTTAGAATTTAAAAATTATCCTTTAGTTACCCAAATATCAATCATCAAATGTCACTGTTACAGTTAAGAAAGAAATTTAATAAATTATATATGTTTAAATAATTTTTATTGTAGCGCCGGTACTATAGCAGACATTTACAAACCTTATCTTAGATTCTTATTGTCAAAATTCAGAAAACATATTTATTTGCATATTTTTGTTGCCTTAACATAAAGACTGTGATACTAATGAACATACTTGCTTTCTTGACATGCGAGTCGCCTTTGCTCTAAATGAAAATTAATCGGTATCGATATGTGACGGGGACTTCGATTTATTGATAAAAGTAATTAAGTAATTTGTGTTATTTTCTATTTCTAGAAAAAATTAAATCTCAACTTCTCACGGTGGGAAGTGTGAAGACGTTTATCTTCAGGGTTGTGCTGCGTAGTCTGGTAAAATTTTAAAGACGTCTCAGAGATTTTGATGATGGAGGCAGCAATTATCTCCGAAACGTCGGTAGTCTGCTACCAAATTAGAAGGCGCAACAGCCCAGAAGACAGCCATCTTATAAAATATTATATTATCCGTTATTAAAATAAATTATTATGCTATGCTGCTCCTTTCAGTGATGCCAAAATTTACAATTGTATTGTCTTTTAAATATCAAAATAATAAATAAATAAATCTGTAACATGGAAAGAGAAGTATGTTTTACAAGAAGAGAGGGCTGTATGTTTTTAATTACGACAATAATTATATTCCATAATCCTTTTATGTGTGAGGACGGAGCATCAAAATAGTTTACGTTCGTGAATATGATTGTTAAGTTTTATAATATTAATAAATTTGTATACATTACTTGAAAGCACATCTTACAATGCTAGGAGTGGCATCACGGAACAGAATTTTCTTTTTATCAGTGGAACACATTTGTTTTGGTAAGCTGTTTCAGAGCACGGATTATGTTTGGAACAGATTGGACCTCTGTAGACACAGTATGGAAAGCATGGCTTAATCTGCCTCAGCAATGGGGCAATAAAAGTGCTCGACTCAGCGTGTCCATATTGCTGGAGCTGCAGATTTGATATTCCCATTTGAGGAAGGAATTCAAAGCCATGACAACACATGTCACGTATTACAGACAGTGGTTTCGTATTCCAGAACATCAACATCTTAGTGCTAAGATCGCATTACATTTTCTGAAGTTAACGACACATCCTTCTACTGTGAGAAACACTGTAGCGATAAAATTACACTGTAATTACGATGGACGAATATCTTACATGACGTTTGGTGATCTGTCGCTCTTAGGCTAGGGACCCACTAGCGCGACTAGCCGCGTGCGGCGTGTCGAGTGTTGCCGCGCCGCGTCAGTGGGTTTCGCATCTATAAAAAGCAATACAAATAACAGCCGCGCGCGACAACACTCGACACGCCGCACGCGGCTAATCGCGCCAGTGGGTCCCTAAGCCCTACGGTTTTCAGGTTATTCGTCATTTTACTGAGAGGGTTTAGTTGTTACTTTACGGGTTCTTATACACAGAGAGACTATGGTAGCGCCAGTACAGTACAGGCGTACTAAGGGTGTTTTACACGGCACAGCGCGACCATTTCATAACCAAGTCAGGTCACGCTATGTATATCTGTACACGTGTTTGATCGAGCTACTTTTTCCAGGACATGCTGGCCGCGCTAGTGAAATAGCAGTACCTCATGAATTATATCCCAGTCAGCGAACTTCATACCTATTGTAACAGAAGTTAGTTTTAGATTGTTTAAGTATGTAGAGAAATATTCATTGAAACGAACAATTTTTTTTTGTTAAATGATTGGTTAGTAATTGTGTATCAAGTAACTAATTAATAAAATAATCCGAAGTTATCCGTGATGTTTACTTCATATTTTATTGCTACGGTTTCCAGCTTGAAATATTCTTCTCAAATAATCGAAACTTTTGGTAGTCCACTGTGAAACATTTCGGGAAGAATGAGTCAGGTCTGTTCGTGATAGGCTACTTCAAATAATTCGTGTGTTCTTAAATGTGATGGCACACGGAAACTGACGCCCATAACCTCAACAAGTTCCATACGCCACATACCATGAGCTTCTCAATGCCGTAGAATGAGATCGTTTTATCTTTCTGGGATCTTTGTTCGAAGCTCTTTGTTCCCTTAACCTCATTTCTATTGTTTCAGAACATTGTCTTCCCAGAGGAGCTAGTACGCACAGTCGGTTTGTGTAAGAGACAAATTCCCTCAAAACCGTGATAATTATTTTGTTTTTCCAAACACAGCGTTTCGGAAATTGGATCTGTTGCCGCCACCAGATGTCAGGAGGAACATTCAGTTTAAGCCCTTTGTCCCAGGTAGCGAAACCAGTTCTCTGTCCTTTGGTTTCAACTGAAAGGAGACATTCCTTCCTGCTGTCTGATGACGTAGACAGGTCAACTTTCCGTAATGTCTCGTTCATAATGTTGATTACGATGGACCGTTCAGATTAATTATTCCATCCTAATTATGACAAAATACTCTATCGTGAAAAGACAGAAAATTTAATTAATCAACACTGCACTTGAAACTAAAGTGACCAGCATCTCGATTTATTGTCTGTGTACGAGGTACGAGTAACAGCCGAAGGATATTCTGCCCTCATTAGCTCAGAAATCGATGTATCGGTGAACAGACCTGTACCAGCCAGTTTAATGGAACTTTTTCTTTAAAAATAAATCATTTGCTAGAATATTTCTATGGGAAAATATAATCACTATAGCTGGAAGGCCAGGAACACTTAACTATAACCTTTAGCAAATAAAAAATATCGCAGTCAGTACATTAACTGGTTACTGCTTAGTAACCATTGTTCGATTCAGGCACGGAGAAGCGTTTACCTGTCAACTCATCTTCAATTGTGTCACTGTCAGGCCTAAAATAGATAAAACTTGGTTCTGTCAAGGAAAAAAGTGCTTCTAACAAGTATCTGCTTGTAATTTATACCACTTTTCAGCAATGTTTAACTAACTACATGAAGTTGTGTTATTCAGAAACCGGACGTTTCATTAGTTTGATGATAATATTTCACAACTGGACCTATCCTGAGAAATTTGGATCCTTACCACAGTCTCACTTTCAACTTCGAGATCTATTTTACCCTCTCAAATCTAGTTCTCGGAAATGGTCTCTTCTTTTTTGGTTTTCAGACTATAATATTTTATTCATTTTGCAACTCCCCAACTCTCAGAATATTATTTTAGCAACCTATCAACATAATCGTGGTTATTTCTAATATAATCCAACCAGTATGTATGAAAGTTTACGAATGTTTAATTCTTCAGTTATCAGGCACTTTCAAATTACCACTACCTGTATCTTGCAGGGTGTGTATGTGGACTTTCATCATGAATATATTTGATCGCTTACATATGTAAAAATGTGCATAGAACAATTTCAACTTTAAAATTACAGCAGTCGTGATCCAGTTTGAAAGAAGATTGCTTAACGACTTTCAAAGTGCGATAATCCATCCTTTATTGTTCTTAATAATTTACTGTGTTCATAAATGTGATTTTGGCATCTAAATAACAACATAACTCTGTAATTCGTATAGTAGTATGGAATATAATGTTGACAGGCGTCAATATTATAAGACAGAACACTGAATAGACAAAATCTTTCGTTTCAATTCTCAAATATACACCATATTATTAAAATAAAAGCTTTGTGTAAAACGTAAATCTGTTGTTGTCCATAAGTAAGCACCACGCCATGAAGAGGTATAGTGAGATGTAGGTCTAACCCCACGCATTTGAAGCTCTCGATCTGACAGGCTCTTTAACCTCGGAAGACAGCTTCACGTACCCATTGGGTAAGAGACTGGGTGGAACACAGAGGATGTCAGAACACGGCGTAGAAGAGAAAATTCCTTGTTCGTAAAGAAAATTTGACGTGCATCCCACAGCCGTTGTTGTACTGACAGAACTATGTGGGCTTCCTCAAAATTTCTGATCAATGGCAGTGATACACGATGTTCGAAATGATTGTATACTGTAAATAAATGTATTACACTACTAATGTTCTTTCCCTGAAACACAACACCGTTGTGCTTGTCATGCGAACAGTGAAAAATAACCATTTTTCGGTGCTTCTGACCTAGATAAGAGTAAACATCTTGCAAGTACGTGTTTTCTGTGTAGATACTTTCTGAACATCCCGTACTTAATATTTTTGGAAATTTTGTTAAGTTCTGTTTAATGGTCGAGTATATTGTAAGTTGTAGTCGGTTTTGTGAAGGCAAGATTGTAACTGGTCCGGCAATGTCAAATGCACACCACAAGTAAAAAATAAAGTAGAAATCATTCAAGTGTTTTGGGACGAGAAATGTGCGAACGGGCATGGAATGTATCGAAAAGCAAATTGTAGGAGGCGATTGTTTAGACAGCATTAATTCACCTTTTTCAACTTTAAAGATCTGCATAAATAATTAAACAGAGTGTCTAGTCTTGTGGCTAAATTTGAAATCAGAATCAGTCTATAATTTATATTTAATCAATTGAAAATATACTTCATGTTTGGCAGCCTGAATTTAATTGATAGCTTTTTACATTCTACACGAAATGTATTAGTCCAAATGTAGATCACTAAAGTCGATAAGAACTTATGCAAGACTTGATAATATCGGCAACTCCATACTACAAAATTCTCTCAGCCTAAAGGTTGGGTTTATTCCAGCATTTACACGACTGATCACCGGACAGAGTTCCTTATGCTGTCTCTAAGTTACCATCTTCTTGCAGGTGCAGTTGGCATCCAGATCACTGACCTCCGGGTGCCATCTGTTGTCCGGAACAACTCGGGATCGGCCGCGCTACTTGACTGCGATTACACGTTGAAGCCGGAAGAACTCGCCGCCCACTCGTACGCGGGTCTGGTGGTAAAGTGGTACTTCAACAGCAGTCCCAGCCCGGTGTACCAGTGGATCCCGGGACAGAAGCCGCAGGACCTGGGCATCCTAAAGGGCAAGCTGGACTTGAAGCACCGCTCCTCAGACCACGGAGCCACCATGTACCGGGCTCTGTACATACGAAACCCCACGACGGAACTCTCCGGCGAGTACAAGTGCCTCGTGTCGACCTTCGACGACGAGGACTTCATGACCAAGAAGATGGTCGTCTTCGGTGAGTAGACAATCATTTAGCCGTGGCTTTTGATGAAGGTCTACCATTTATGTGTCAAATTACTTTTATGTGTCCATATTATCTTTATTATCGGCAGCTATCAAAAGCACAATTTGTATTCCGGTGTCAAATTCTGCGCTGACACTCATTTCAACATTCACGATGGCTGTTCTTACGAAACTTTTATATACATTTCACAAACTGTTACCAAGATTGGATTATGTACAAGGGTTATAACTAGGTGAAAATATTTCTAACACAGATTGCTCCAAGGGTCCTACCATATAAACAAAACCCTGTTTCAGGAGAAGAGTGTATAAGATGGCGAGTCCTCGATAATTAACCGCGTAAGAGTAATGGCCATAACCGACTATAACACTGGTGCTAACTTCCGAAATATGTGTGTTGTTAAATCTGTATAATCATGTGATTTATTTACATTAGGAAACTGAATTATGATTCCGCTTGATTTTCGGCCACTCTTAGTTTCGGCTTTAATGGCATGTCCGTTATCAAATCAGCAATTTTATAAACAGCGATTTAACACCTAGCAACAAAGTGACTTGCTGTTAAGCTAGACACGTCGTCGCAGGAATATGTCAGTTTTGTATTTTACATCCCAGAAGAATTATTTAGCACATTATTTAAATTTTTCATGCATTCTTTCCTCTTAACAAGGACGCATCATACTATATAGTATATGGTATTTTAACCTGGCGAAATATTATTAAGTCAAATTGAAGGAAGATGAGATGGGAGTGACGTGTAACACGCATGGTGGATATGATAAATTTTTTCGTAATTTTTGTGTGAAATTCCGAAAGAGAGAAGTCACCAGGAACCCCGAGATGAGGCTGAGAGAATAGTATTAAATAATTGTTGGGCGTGGATTGGGTTCATTTGACTCTGAATAGAATCCAATAGCAAGTTATCGTGAACACAGTAACGAAAGACAGCGAGGGAGTTTCTTTTAAACGACTATTGATTTCTCGAAACGTATTTTGCTCTATGGAGTTAGTTTTGGATTATTGTTCGCTTCTGGCGTTTATGTATCGAGCGCAGTGATATCCCTTGGCTTCATTTTTCACAACCGATCACGTGTCCATGTCTCTTTGTGCCGTCTTTGTATATTAAAATTCTTGGGTGTTCGATAAAGTTGCCTGAAAAAATATTTCAGAGCTAATTCTGTCTATGGCACGATCTATAACTTAGCAGTGAGGTTTACTTATATTATACTTCGACCATTCAAATTTGTTATTTTACCTGCTTTAGATTCTAGAAGACCCGGGTTTGAATCTCGATCGGAAAGACAGCTGTTTTGATCAGTGTGTTTTTGTAAATTATCAAGCAGTAGACATGACTTCAAATATATCGTATTCATCGTGGTTTCCTTTTCAGCAATATGACTAAAGTTGTGTCTTATTTGGCACTGTATAATTTTGCCAGGGATCAATAATGCTTTCATTTACTGATGACAGTTCTGACTATCGATATTTTTTTCGAGGGTGATAGAAAAAGTAATAATGCCATAGACGGAAGAAAAACTTAAGAGTATAGCTGCTGCATAATACTGTATTTTTCAATACAACTTACTTCATTATTTAAATATTTGCCTTGTTAATATTCAGTTTTCATTTAAAGTTATTGTTTATTTTTATTAAACTTCACTTTTTAAAACTACAGTCATTTTCACGTTGTTTTGTTAAATTGGTGTGGATTTAACGAAGAAAAAATATACTTTTGCACAGTAACGTAATTTTAACTTTATAGGTTTACATCGACAACTTGGTTTTTATATAAGTGTTTTTGTGATTGTTTGTCGTTACGCGTAAATAATGTATATATAAAATGTTCCAAAAACATATATACCTACACATATTCAATGAATGAAATAACTACATTTTTATAAATTAAACCATTTTATACGCCATCATTGAAACTTAGTAAATTTACGAATCCAGTGTTGGTGTTCAAAATGACCACCGTTAGCTTCGTGGCAAAGTTGACAGCAATGAACAACTGACTGACAAGCGGCCAACAAAGTTGCTATTGTGCATTCATTTATTTTGGAACACCCATCAAAGTATTCATCGGCTGCAAAATAGCTTTGCCCTTCTCGCATTGGCTGATTTCCAAATTATGTTACGGGACGCTCAAAAAGGTTGCGAGGGTCACATGCAGACCGCAGGTTGGCAGCCCATGCGTTTTATAATTTGTAAAGTCTCGTAAAATTTCAAAACATAACTGTAAATAAAATGTTTCTTTATTTATTTCTTCGTTGTGTAGTTTAGAAATTTAATTACGAATGTTATGTAATATACCATAGCAGGTAAAAATAAATAGAGCCTTTAAAAAAGCTATGAAACATAAGTTATGAATTGCAAACTCATCGAACGAAAAGGTAAAGATCAAAGTGTTCATATTTACATTACATACTGTTATTAATGCACATGTGGACAAAATAAAGGCATATTCATTTAATATTTAATGTAGGTATGAGAGTAAGAACTGAACTGAAAAGTTACACCAATAGATTTAAGGGTTCATATTTTCCAGATGCATTATTTACTATTTACCATACTTTCTTGGCTTTGATATTCACTTAATGCAGACAGAATTGTGTTGTTGCGGAAGGAGACAGCACAGAATCAGAATATAAAGAGGTCAACGACACTCACTGTTTCAATTCTATCTGTGATCTGTGTCTTACGTCGTGAACTAAGTTCTTGAATTGTGCCCCGTTTTTGAGAACAAGCACGAGGTTCATTTTGAGTTTCGCGTAAACTTCCAGTGACATCAAATCCATTTTTCCCAAAATTGCATACGTTTGATCACTTTTCGTTTTGGTTTCCTTTTCAAAGTTTATCGAATTATATTCTCTAGTCTCCTAGCTTACGCACACGTATAGGCAAAAGATACATCATGTGGGTTAACGTCGTTTGAGATATACAAAGTAATACTGCCTATAGTTGAAGCCAAGATCATATTATCATAGTCTGAGTAAAACTATTATCTTATTTACTATTAACAATAACGAATTATTATAGGAGACATTTTTCAGTGAAAACGTCTTAAGTCTATAGAACGTATGCCAATAATTTTGTTCCATTTAAAATAATTTTATATGAGAGTTATAATACTTAATTATATTAACCTTTTCCTTGTAATGACTTAATATTTTTCGCTTTAATGAAATTTGTTACATTAAAAACCTGGCCCTTAATTAAGAATGTTTAAAATAATTTATCATTATTGTTACTTTCAACATTCATTAGTCTGTGTTTACAGTTTGATGTACGTTCCTGAGTTTTAGACTGTGGTTTATATTTAATTTATTACAGTTCATTATATTTTATAACAAACTGAAAATTACTTAACTAAGGATTTAATTGTTTATGTTTAAATTTTGTAGACATACACTCACATGTTTAATATGTTGATAAAATATTTGTTTTAGTATCAGTTCTTAAACTTTTTGTTGAAACACCGACCAGTTTCTTACAAACGCTGATAAACGAAATAGAAATATCAAAAGCCTTTCATTACAAAATTCTGCACACATAGAGTTAGCGTTGGGTCAACATGACATGGACAAAGTTTGACAGTGAGAGCAGTTCCTTCTGAACTCCGTGGTGTTGCGTGTTAGAAGTTATTTTGTCGTACCCTTGAGACCACGTTGAACTTCCCACAACGAATTAGTACGGTCATCTTTTTCACCAAACTCAATTGCGTTGTGTTTAGATTGAAACCAACTTTCTCTTAGAGTACACTATTACTTTTTTATTACTTCTGTCATGCTACTTTTCACTGCAGGAAATAAGCATTTAGGTTAACCTATCTGTTGCTATTTAAAATCGAATGTAATTGTTCATTGCCTTCTGACCAGTAGCAGGCTTACAACGTGAAACGCTATCTTGAATTACTTTTGATTTAGGCCCTTAGCAAGCTCACTGACCTCCCTTTAAATTGTAACGCTGAAAATTACAATTATGTCCCACCTGCTTCAAAAATCTGTAACTTTTAATTTCGTGTTTCTGTGTTTGGTATGATTTTCACTGTAATCGGGGATTACTATGCGTTTCTTGTACGAAGTGCATATAGAGAACGCATTATGGGCTGGTCGTGCCCTTCCATCCATCCATCCGTCTGTCTGTCTGTCCAGTCGATTTAACCCGAGAACCACTGGACAGATTTAAATGAAATTTGATATTCAGGCTGTGCCATTTCACACGACCTCAAAATAGTGCTTTTTAATATTCTACGAGCAATTATGATTAAATGACGGTTGAGGAAAGTCGTGAGATAGACATTGGGGCGCTACGATCTTGTGGCCAAAGTGGGGACTATCGAACAAGCGAGATTTAATACCTCCAAATGAACGTCGCAAGAAACGCATAATGATATTATGTGTATTCTGGTACGGAATACGCTTTCCAACCTCGTTTCCTTATACAGCGTTAACCAGCTGGATCTTTGTATCGGCGACGCGTTGTGTTTTATTCTGGATATAGCCTCGATTCTTATTTTTTTATTATACGAGCTTTTGACGTCAAAGGGTTAATACGTGATTTGGGGAGAGATGAGATGACACACGTTATAATAAAAGCTCTAAAAATAACAACTTAAGCACCACAGTGCCCTTGTTTACTGTAATCATTCTCAGGATCGTGGTAACCACACAAAAACATCTCCTTTATGCGGACGTGTAAATTAACTGTTTTATCTGATCCAAATAATCTTACAATAGAATTTAATTTTGTTTAAGTGAGGAAATACTAATTAAGATAGCACGTGTGTGAGTGTTTCTGTACACTTTGTAAGATCAGCAAGATTTAAATGAACGTGTATCATATAGCAGGAACGTAAGTTAATACCCACTCGCCAGGTGTGTTTGCTGCACCTATTCGTGTGTGTAATAGTGGGGAAAGTGAGCTGGGATCACTAGAATGTTGTTTCGAAACCCAACCTAACCTTACCTAACCTAACCTACCTCGTACACA